TGATCATCTTCTCCCAGCCTGTCCTTAGCACTCCCAAGGGAGATGTTAATAAAGTGAAGGCAAGATCCTCATCATTTAATGGTAGTGTACTCCCTGCCCTTAGGCCAATTTAGATCAAGTTGGTGTGAGAAGGAGTAGGAATCAGAAAAAGAAAAGGCAGTTTGCTCACAGGAATCCACATCAGAAATCACTGAGGTAAAAGGGTCTCTCCAGTAACCCTGGTGGGATTTGAGGCTCACAGGGATCCATTTCAACAGGTAGTGGGGCAGAAGGACACAATACGTTTATGCACATAAGCATAATTTTTTTTTTAGTAAAATGTGTCAGTTTGGGGGTAATCATGTAGGTTCTGGAGCCTGACTTTGGATTGTTGAGTCTTCAAGCTGCTGGCAGTAGACGCTAACTATATCAGTTGCCTCAGTGTGGGAGACGGATTTATTTTTTCAGCTCTACAGAGAGAGGTTAAGGAATGGGGTGGAGTGTAAAAGACAGGTGTACTTCTGTTGCCCCTACCACAGGAAGGGAAGATTGTGTGTTTAAAAAATGGCAAAACGGAACTGTAAAATGTAAGCCTTGACATTTAGATTTCCTCAAGTTGTAAATGTGGTGTGGAAGCCACATATGTATCATTTGTTCTACCACACAGCAAAAACTGATAGCACAAAGATTTATTTTTTTTTTCTTCTAATACTGGGGGAAAAAGCATTGTTTGTTTTAGTCCCTTCTCTTCTTCAGGAAAAGCTTGAACTGTCTTCAGTAGAAAAAGTACAGAAAATTGTTATTGCAGACAAACTAGAAATACCACTAGTGAAAAATAAGTATTTCTTCAAGCACATCATAACTGGCAATATGAAGTGCTTCAAAGAAAAAAAAAATCTGCTTTAGTTATAGGCGTTATCTCATATCAGCATAACATTCTAGATTGTCTATTTTTTGGGCCACTTCCCTTTATCTGCAGGAGGAATGAAAGCTTTTCACCATTTTCTTGAGCCTGTCTATGACAATCCATATACTAGATCAGACGATAGAGGAGGGTTTGTAGGAAAGATTGCAGCTGGCAGATCTGTTCCCTTGAAAGGCGCTCCTTTGAGAACAAGAGCTGGGCCGAAAGCGTGCACCCCTTGTTGCCACGCAACAGTCAGGCAGAACCCTGGGTACCAGACACAGCTTATCCATCATTTCCTGATTTTTCAATATCCTTTTCAAACATGGCTACCAGAACTGCACACAGTCTTCCAGTCTCTGCCTCAGCTGTGCTGTGAAATAACTTTCTTACTCCTACTTATTAGTCCCACATACATACATTTAAAGATCCTGTTAGCCTTTTGTGCTGCCACAACTCATCAATTTGTCTCTTAGTTTCAGATTATGTCAATGTTGTTCTGTCTCTATTCATCATAATGTGAACATAACAGCAGATCGATCCTAATATTGGACTTAAGTCTCTGCTAAGATAAATAAAACTCTCAATCCAGGGAAAGCACTTAACACGTGGCTGTGAAAAAATGCCCACTGATCCAAATTCCTTCTGTTTCTGAGTAAGCGTTTCCTATGGGAAGCTGTGTTCTTCACGCTGGATTCAGTGTGGTGTTGTATCTGTGACACAGTGCTACAAATATGTTATAGGGCTATTTTCTTGCCAGCTATGATGAAGACCAGGTTTTAACATTTTGATCTGTTTTCCTCTTTTATTGGTAACATGAGTGACTAATTGAAAAGAAATAGTATTTTCTTTATGTTGTGATATACTGTACAATGATGTTCAGAGCATGTGATAAATGAGAGTTACACTTGTCTGCATGTGAGAGAACATACCTGCTCTTGGGTCTCAAAACACTGCCTATTTTTAGACTGCATTGATAATACATGATTATTTTCAGTTCTCAGATGCCATATGTTTCCATACATTTCTTTTGATATTCAATAGTGAGTGCTTATTTATGCAGTAAAATGCATAACAATATACAATATAAAGCTATAAAAGTGAATGCAGGAGTACTGCTGTAATCTCCTGTTGCATGAATATAGTTTTGTCTGGCTCCATGCTAAAATGTGAAGCCTATGCCAAGCAGAAGGTTGTTGAAAGCATCATAGAGTCATAACCTATTTGGAAGAAACAAACAAACAAACCACAAGTTGAAGAAGAAATGAAATTAAACTCTAACAGCACCCTAATTGCATGGCAGTAAAATTCAACTCATAATTCTGGTTACATTATCTTAGAAATGCTTTTGCTGTATTTTAAGCTACAGAAGAAATCCATTAGAAGCATAACCTGAAAGGGACATGAAGAGGTCATCTTTCATTTCCCTGCTTTAAGGCTACATAGGCTGAAAAACTTCAAGTGATTGATTCAGAAATTGTACGTACATGCATGACTGCCAAGGGAAGAGTTAAGGTTATACACTATAAGTTTCCTACTTTCAGATGTCAAAATCTATGACTTTAGCAGGGTCAGTAATGCACAGTCATGTAAGTAAGAGAAAGATGGAAACTGAGAGGAGTCACATTTTGAAAATATATTGGAACTGGAGAACAATCCTAGAAAAAATGTGATAAATACTTGTGAATCAATACTTGTCAAGATGTTATTTGCGCGCATTGTGATTTCATTATTCAGCCAGCCATGAATAAAGCTCCCTCTAAAGCTAGTAATTATTTTCTTGCACTTTCCATAATCAAAGACTGTTGAAATTAAACTAGTGCAGAGTTAATAATGTATCCTGGCTGTTTGAGTTACCAGTTCTGTTCAGATCTGCACCTGTAGTGTCTAGGGAACACAAACAGTAGTAGACTCAGAGCACCTGTAAGTGTTACTGCAAATTACTAAATTGACCTTGCCACAAAAAATGGAGCAAAGTTCTCTTGTTAATTAACTTTGTCAAATGCTTTTGTAACTTCTGTGTATAGTATAGAGATAAACCAGATAAAGAAAAGGCAGGCACGGAAGAGATGCACTTAGGGTGGTAAATGATGGATGAAGTACTGTTAGCAATTTGGACAGTGCATTTTTACGTGTACCAATCTGAGGAATACCACAATTATTAGGTGCCAATGTCTTAAGAAAATTGGTTAAAATGTTCTAAAAATGATAAAAAATGATGGCAATTAAAAAGGACTTATTTGTTCATTACAGTCTGCAAGTGAGGGTTCTGCTCTGGTGGCAAGGAACTTGTTTGAGTTGGTTGACCTTGGAATAGAGCAGTTACCCTTATTTGCCACTGTGTTGCAGATTACAACACAGGTTTGAAAGCAGCATCTGCAGGTAATACCTGTCCTTCTGTGGGAAGCAAACTTCCACTGCTTTGGGCCTTAGCCAGCACAGCTAAATGTAAGGGGACATAAGCTTCACAAAGCGGGAGAAGAAAGGGTCACCAGATTGTGTTGCTGACCTGCTGTGCAGTTTCTGTTCTGCTTGCAGAGTTGCATATCTACGGACTGCTAACTGCAGGACAGCTTGCAGGATGCTATGTTGATGAACTATGAAATCAAGTTACTGATAACATCCTGGGTATGTTTAGAAGTGCCAAAGGTTCAAAGGATCTTCAGGTATCAGAAAAGATGGACTGATGAGATTTTTATTTTTTTAATCGGCATTTCTTATAATCCCAAGATCCACTTTGTTCAGTAATTTAACTTCTGGGGCCATAGGACCTTTTGGCTGGGCTATGGATGAGGTGAGTGCTGGTGGTTTGACTGGATCTGGAAAGGAGAAGAAAGAAGAAGAGCTCTTCTTTCATCCTTTAAATCAAAGCCAGTGGCAACCATGGATTTCATCAGGAAATTGCTGCTACTGTCAGAAGAAACTCTAGGGACGTTCCTTCCCAAAAGCTCCTTCGCTCTAGAAGGATGAATGAGTTGCTGAATTTCACAAAGTTTCTTGCATTTGATTTTCTGCTCTGCTTTCATTTATTCAGAGTGCAGAATACTGAATGACTATCCATGCTCTGCTGTGCTGCAGTCATGCTGCCTCCTTTGCATGATGAGGAACCGGTAAGATCACCTGAGCCCTGCCTGTTACTGTGTGGGGCAGAACGGAGGCAAAGAGCTGCCCAGGTGGACGTTGAAGCTGGTTTATGCTTGCAGCAGAGTCCTCCTCTTGGCAGAGATTTCTAGTGCTTTGTCAAACTGTCTGGCTGCATCAGTTAATTGCTTGTTACAAAGTCATATCAGAATGCTAAAAGATCGCAATGCACTTGTTAATTCGATTCTTTGAATAGTTTAGGAGAGCTCAGTTGTGCCAAAAGCAATCTTACAACGTACCTGCAGCATGCCTGCCTGCCAACTGCAAGGGTAATCAATCAGTGTGTTGCCACCACTATTGATGTAATCTGAGATGGAGTTTGACTTGAAAGATGAAGAGGAAATTAAGCATAACAGAGCGATAATAGAATGATCAATGCTGCTTGCTGCAGACTTTGCGTGTGCATTGAAAAGGAAGATATTTTGTCAATGCTAGCCACAGATGTGTACATGAGGTGATAAGTCTTATCTGAAATACAAAGCTAAATACAAGTGACTAATATGGTAGAGTTAACGTCGGGGCTTTACTAACAGGGCAAGGAAAACAGAAGGAAGAAATGGTGTCTCAACTTTATCTTTCAAGAAAACATAGATAGTTCTGGTGATTGTCATGAAATTCCTTTTTTCAGTATTTGAGTCATGGTTCTGTTTTCTATCATAAACATTGAGTGTAAAGAAGGTATTAGTGGAGAAGTCATTTTCCTCTAGTGCTTGAGTAGCCTGGGTTGTGAAGCAGAAACTTGTTGTCATAAAAACTCTGTCTTGTTATTAAAACACTGCTTTCAGTGGCAATAAGGTCATCAGTTTGGGATAAAATTTTTTTCTTCGATGAGATATTCTGTAGAAGGAGCCTTCATTCAACAGCAAAATTTGTGCTGAGTATCAGGGGCCTCAGATTCATCTGGTATGAAGCCTTTTGATCACCAGAGTGTTCCTGAATACTGATCTGGGGAGGAATAAATTTGTAAGTGTCTCACCTTAGGAATCCTCCACAGTCAATAGGATTGGTCTCTGTAACAGGCATATTTGGAAAATGCTGTTTGTGTAATGCCATTTTGAATTTTTTATCATGTTAATAGTTCCCATAAGGGAAAACAAGACTTCTGAATGTTTGATTGCTTATAGGATCTAGCATTTATTATTTATTCTACATACTGTTATTGATGATTATATCCTCATCCTCATGGGTTCCAGTGCTTTTATAGAATGTCAAGTTCTCAGGAAATCATTAGGGAAATAATCTGTTCGTGTATTTCTCATCCTTCCATGCATGTAAGAGTTTCAGAGTCACCCCAACTATGTTACTTTCAGCATTCTGACTTGCTTCAAAGACTAAGGGATGGATTTCCACACCCTGGACTTTTTTCACAGCCATCGAGGTCCTTATTCACAGCATCAAATCCACTCTGAAATGTTCTTAGCTACTTTCATCAATAATATTAGATGATGAACCAGATAATGGGATTGCCATATCCCAATCATATGCTTTAAAATATATTGTGGAGTCAAAATTTCATTATTTTAATCTTGCATTGACCACTATGTGAACTCTTTCAATTCACTGTGGCTTTTCTACAAGATTACATTAACTAACAGTGGCTTGTATACAATATTTGTTTAATACCCTTGAATAGTCAATAGGTTTTTAATGCAAGATTTTGTTCTAAAATTCCTTTTCCATGTAGTAAACTTTTATTTCTTGGCATTACTGTCCATTCAAATGCCATGTCGTTTGCCTTTGTTTTTCATTTAATGTTAACCTCAGGTTAAACTCATTCACATATCAATTGCCACTTAGCTTTAAATTTCTGTCTATACGTTCTATAGAACTTTTAATTAATCAAAGAGATATCCATAGTGAATCATAGCAGTCTTCTAATCCAAAGTGACTTTAGCAGTCTGACCACCACCTGAACAATTCTATTTATGTTTTAGATGATGACAATCACTACATCATTGTTGGTCCTCTGAAATTGGTGGTCTTTATCAAAACAAGAAGTTTTGAAGCAAACAGAGAGTTGAATTGATATTTGGGTAATCATTTGAATATGGAGGCCAATCGCCAGTTTCAGAGATCATTTGAGTTTTAAAACCTTTGGATGAGTAGGAATTTTTTGGAGTGCAGTACAGTGAACTGGCATTCAGAGAGAAACTCAGCCTGGAGCCAGGGCTTATCATGAAGCTCTGCTCCATCAATGTCCTTCTTAGGTTCTGTTTTCAACCCACCATGAGAGAATTTCAGTCTCCCAGTTTATGACTGCATAGTTCCTTGAGATTCATTGCATCCAAAATCACTATTGTTGTGAATTTTCTTCTTTTTCCTTTACTTTTGTGAAAGGTTATTTTTAAGTATGTACATTTTCAAACTAGATGCAACCTAAGCCAAAACTCTGGAGTGTTTTCACCATATATCTGGATTTGGCCAAACACATTATTTTGTATCTGAAGTTAGATATTGGTATAACAGATATTAGACTTGAGCATTAGAGCTTTGAGTGTATTTGGAACCGATTTTTTTGAGAGGTCATGCTTTTCCTAAACTTTTGTCTTCCTTCCGGGACATTTCAATTGAGCCAATGCCAGTGCAGAGCAAGATCTGTTGTCATGTTTAGCATGATCATCTTGAGCTTGCCCTCAGCAGGTGATGTCTTCTGGTAAGTTCTAAGTGCAGCTAGAAATGAGACTCCCTGCAGCACAGTTCACCTTCTCTCCCACAGCGATCATGCCAGTGTACCCCTGCCTTGCATCAACTGAGGTATTCAATCTCTTGTGTTTGTAAAGGATGTGGGCTCCATACCCCTAATTTTTAGCATACCTTCACTTCTTGAAGCATCGAAGATAGGTGATAAAAATCTCACAGAGCTGTTCTAACAATCCCGTATCTTTGAAATGAGCAAGCAAGAAAGTACAGCAGGAATCACACTAGGTAGGTGACATGCTTTAACTGAGCTGAATCCTTGAAGAATTAGTCTTGCAATTACGGGATGACTACAGCTGAGTGTCTTTAAATCAGGTAATTTGAAATTAACTCTCTTTTCCTTATCTAGTTAGTACAGTCCATTGTTCTGAATTTATGGCTCAGGTTGCTATCTGATGTTTAAAACATAGCATTTCCCAGAGTGTCTCCTGATGAGTTTAATGTAATTTGAGACCCTTTCATTCCTGAATGCTACAATTGCAATGAGATTAGGAAGCAGAGTGGTTAAAATGAGTTTCCATTGCTAAAAAAGATATTGGCAGATAATTCAGACTTTATCAAAAGAGAAAAAAAATTAAGACTAGCAGGCTGAAAGTAATGCATATTGAGAGACTACCTGTTGTCCAGAGCAAGCATGGACTCCAGCTTCTTCAAGCTGCAGTCCCCTTTACTTTCTGATAATGGGCCAGATGTAACATGAATGTGTCTCAGATCAAGTGTTGCTTGATTAAAACAGGTTAGAGAAAAGAAACGCAGTGAGAGCTAGCCACGTTCTGCGCTGTGTGACTTACCCTGCCTGGCAGGCAAACAGGCAGCAGAGCTATTATCATTGAAATAGCAATGAGATGTGTGATTTAGGTTTTTCAGGTCTCTGCCTTTTATACTCTCATAATAGAAATCATTAGGGATCCACTGAAATATTTAATTTATCACCATAAATTTAGATGACGACATTAAGTGCTGTTATGGGTCTGGGTCATGATTACTGCCAACCAGAGTCCTGTTCTGGCCGAGCGAGTATGCATTAACTCAAATAGCTAGATTATTATCTGTCACGGCTGTTGAATAAGGCTGAGTTTTTCTAGCAACAGGGTGGATAGGAAAGTGTCCAAGAGAAGTGTCTGCCTCTTGCATCTGAGGATTAATTCAGGATCAAGTCTTCATGCTTTTGCTTGGGTAAATCAAAAGTGTTTCAGCTAATTCAGCTTTTCCAAATTGCACTTTGCTGCTTCTGCATGCTGACTGAGGCCAACTCCTATTTATGCACTGGAGCAGAGTTATTACCTATGCGCCTAAGAAAAGGAAACGAAGAGGCAGCCATCTCTGGAGCTAGACAGTGATAAGGTTACAAGGAAATTACACTCCCAACTACAAACATACAGAATTATCATATATGATTAAGTGTTTTTCTCTTCAGTCACACAGTTTATGTCCAATCTGTCATAGTAGTCTTGCTCTGGAATTTGAGTGAATCTTGGCCTTTGACTTCCATCCTCTCCAGATAGGTTTTTAGCTTGACAGCCCAAAATCAGGTAGCTTACAACATAAATTCACTGTTTTGAGTTCCAAACACTAGCTTTACAAATTGCATTTTCATTATGTAAAATAAAGCAATTTTTATCCATTGACAGTAGATACAGTGCTTCAGTACACACTGTTTGGCTTGATGTATTCGATAGCTTGAAACTAGCTGCCTTCCAAATGTACAAGTGCTTGTCCTGCTGCATGATCCTTGTGTCTATAAGCAGTAGCCTGCTCGTCTTCCAGAATGAATTAGGCTGGTTTTAAATTCTTACTTTAGCCATTTTAATCTGGAATGACATGCACGGATAGAAATTGTTAATTTGTTTGTCTTGCTGGTAAGCCTCAGGCTTCTGTTATTATAAGACTGCTTATCAGAAATAATAAATTCATGCACTTTTTTCTTCTGAAACACTGGCAAGATATAATTATATTATGATTTATTTTACAACCCCAAGACCAGAACCTGAAATATTTACTCAGGCAAAATTAGAAATCAAGGAGAGTAATCAATCATTCGCAGCTAGGGAACTGTAATTTTTTCTATGTCCATTGAGTAGACTGAGCACAGAATAAGCCTGTTGTTAGGACCTCTGACAAATGCAAAATATAAAAGTCAGGTTTCTTGATTTCTAATGCCGTTTCACTCTGAGCCTTATTAATGCACCTGACCCTGACTAACAGTCATAAACAGTAGTTCACCCTTTTTAATACCAAGGATACAAGGTGTTAGTGGAAATGGTGATAATTTGGGACCCCAGTTACCTAGCTAAATGGGAGGAGCACTGGACAAGGCATCCTCCAATTTACCATTTCCTTCCATGTGCATATGGTGTATTGGTGGATTTCTGTCACTGGTCAGATCTACTCCAAAAGCTGCCAGTTGTGTAAGACTACGTTTGGTTTTTGGGAGAGGAATGTGTTGCTATTTTTTGCCTGTGATATTTTCCTCTTCTCTCGGCTATGCTAGACATTCCTGGTGGATAGTTGTCCTACTGTGTTTTTTAAGATCCCAGCCAATCACTCCAATTGCAAATCAACAATGTGTTCAGGGTAAAAAACTGCCCACCGAGGAACTGTTAATGTATGGGGAAGCAGGCTGATTTGAGGCAGAACAATTAGTATGTCTCTGAAGACACTTTAAGAATTATCCCTATTTTCAAGCCTGAATCTTCAGGTAACTGTAAATCAGTATGTAGAAAATGATTTTTCATGTCTAATTTATGTGTCATAAAAAGATCATAAAAGTCTCCAAATTCTTCATTCTTTTAATTTCTAGCTGTCTCAGGAAAACTAAGAATTGTTGCTGTAACTCTAAGTCTTGATGTGCGTTCAGTTAACAAAACACTTCGTAACATCCCTCTGTAATACTTGACGTTAATAGTCAATTTTTCAGCTTCTTTCTTCAAGTGAACGGTGAGCCTAGAATAATAAAATACAGTGGAATTGTTGTCAACCAAAATGATTATTCAATGAAAATTTAAGTAACTGAGCAGGCAGGTAACCATACCTGAATTGCAGAATGAGGCCAGCTGCTGAGCTGTAAGTCATCACTATTTAATAATTTTGATAGGGGCTTCAGGTTCATTTTGTAGCCTGTTAAAAATGAGACATCATTGTGTTGTCTTTCTTGTCCCTTAGAAATGAACTGCACAGAGGCAATATCTCATACAGTTAATTTAAGAAATTATTAGCTGAATCTGTTAGAAGTTGTTGGGTTTTTTTTTATTTCAGTAGAGTTATGGTGGTTTACATCAGCTGAGGATATGATGGATATCTCCTTGGATCTTCCTAAATCACTTCAAATACAGTATTTTGGGAATACATACCTGTGA